TTTAAGAGTCCAACTGGAATTGGTTAGAGTTAGCCAAGTCCTCTGCCCTCTGCCACCTGGGAGCAAGCCTAAGCCAGCAAGTTGTTATCTCCTGAGGGGTCCCAGACTGTGAGAGGGCACAGGCCGGGCTGAGGGAACACCCCCCGCCCCCACGAGTGCACAAATTTTTGTGCACCAGGCCTCTAGTGTTTAGAGTTAGCCAGGTCCACTCTGCTTCGGTTTGCCCTGAATTCTGATTTTTGTCTCCACAGTCTATTAAGCCGATGAAAGCCCTACTCAGCTTCTTAGCTGAAGTGTTATCCTCAACTTCTTGGCATCCCTGTATTATTTTTTTTAATCAGAAAGTTCTTTAATGGGAAATGAGACCATAGTCAGAACTTTCATCCTCTCTGGAATTTTGATAATTCAAATTATCTCAGTTTTTATCATTCCTTAATGCCTTCCAATATTACTTTTGTTTTAATTTCATACAACTTTTCTAGTTGTTTGTATTGAGTTTGTCTGATGCAAGTTATCCCATCAAAGCTGAAAATATCTATTTAATATCTATTAAAACATATATACCCTCTGACTCAGCATTTCCATTCTAGGATCTTATCCTACAGAAAAGCTCATACATGCCCCCAAAACATATGTATAATAATATTCATCTAGTGTTATTTGTAATAGCAAAAGACATAAAAGATACCAGTAAAGAATAAAGACCATCAATAAAAAACAGGTTCAATATATTATCCACGTAATAGAACACAATGTTGTTGTGGAAACAAATGACCTGGATTTTTAATGTGTTAAAATGGAGGATGAAAAATAATGTGCATATTATATTCCAATTTAGGTAAAACTGGATAAATGCATGCATATATATTTATATATGCAAAAGTGGTTTTGAAGAGATATATTAGAATACAAAAGAGTGGTTCATCTGAAAAAGAACAGAAAACTGGGGTCTTTGATTCAGTGGAAGATTTTTCATTATTTTAGAGTGGTTGAATTCACTTTTTACATAGTGCATGCTGAAATTTTATAATAAACACTAGAGGCCTGGTGCACAAAAATTTGTGCACTCGTGGGGGCGGGGGGTGTTCCCTCAGCCCGGCCTGTGCCCTCTCACAGTCTGGGACCCCTCAGGAGATAACAACTTGCTGGCTTAGGCTTGCTCCCAGGTGGCAGAGGGCAGGCCCAATCCCTAGGTGCAGCCCCTGGTCGGGCTCAGAGCAGGGCCGATTGGGGAGTTGGGGCACCGCCCCCTGTCACACTCAAGGCAGGGTCAATGGGGACGTTGCGGCGCCACCCCCTGTCACCCACAGAGCAGGGTCGATCAGGAGGTTGGGGAGCTCCCCCCTGTCACTCACAGAGCAGGGCCCATCAGGGGGTTGGGGAGCTCCCCCCTGTCACGCACAGAGCAGGGCCCATCAGGCCCTCACCCAGACTGGCCAGGCACCCCAGTGGGGACACCCACCCTGAAGGGTGTGTGACCAGCTGCAAACAGCCATCATCCCCTCACCCAGGCTGGCCAGACACCCCAGTGGGGACCCCCACCCTGATCCAGGACACCCTTCAGGGCAAACCAGCTGGCCCCCACCCGTGCACCAGGCCTCTATTCTATATAGTAAAAGGGTAATATGCCTCCCAGCACCGGGATCAGCGGAGCCGAGAGGCCTCTCGGCACCGGGATCAGCGTGACAGGGGGCAGCGCCCAAACCCCCTGATCCCCCTGTGGCTCTGTGTGTGACAGGGGGCGGGGCCACAACCTCCCTATCCGCCCTGCTCTGTTCGTGACAGGGGAAGGCGCCCCAACCCCCTGATCGGCCCTGCTCTGTGGGTGATAGAGGGTGGCGCCCCAACCCCCAACCCCCATGGGCCCTGCTCTGTGTGTGATGGGGTAGAGCCATAACCTCCCCATCGGCCCTGCCCTGAGTGTGACAGTGGCGGCATCCCAACCGCCTGATTGGCCCTGCTCTGTGTGTGACAGGGGCGGTGCCCCAACTCCCCTATCGGCCCTACTCTGTAAGTGACAGGGGGGAGCTCCTCAACCCCCTGATGGGCCCTGCTCTGTGCGTGACAGTGGCGGCGCCCCAACCCCCTGATTGGCCCTGCTCTGTGGGTGATAGAGGGCGGCTCCCCAACCCCCTGATCCGCCCTGCTCTGTGTGTGACTGGGGGCGGTGCCCCAACTTCCCTATCGGCCCTACTCTGTGAGTGACAGGGGGGACCTCCTCAACCCCCTGATGCTTATTTTACTTAGCATAATTCTCTCCAGGTCCATCCAGGCTGTGGCAAAGGGTAAGGTATCCTTCCTTTTAAAGGCTGAGTAGTATTCCATTATATGAACGTACAATAGCTTTTTTATCCACTCATTTATACTGATGGACACTTGGACTGCTTCCAAATTTTGGCTATTGTAAATAACACTGCAAGTATCATATAATTTGACTCATATGTGGAATCTAATGAACAAAATAAACTAACAAATAAAATAGCAACAGACTCATAAACAGAGAACAGACTGACAGTGGTCAGAGGGGAGAGGGGTTGTGGGCTGAGTGTAAAATGAAAAGGGATTAATTAAAGAAAAATAATCCATGGATACATACAACAGTAGGGTGATTACCCAAGGGAAAGAGGGGTACAGGGAGATCCAAGAGGGAATAGGGGGGATAAGTGGTGATAGAAAGAGACTTGACTTGAGGTGGTGAACACACAATACAATATACAGATGATGCATTGTAGAATTGTATACCTCAAACCTACATAATTTTATTAACCAAATGTCACCTCAATACATTTGAAAAAAAAGAGAAAAAAAGAAGAAAAAAGAGAAAAAAGAAAAAAGATTGCTGCAATAACGTAGGGCAGACCCTAATGCAGTGACAATAAGGATTAAAAGAGACAAATAATAAGATAGTAAGATGATAGAATTAAAAGAACTTGGAGCCCTATCTATATATATAAAAGCCTAAGTGACATTACAACCTGTCTCTATGACAACACACTGACCAGCAGGGAGTAGACACTCAATGCAGGAGCTATTCTCTGGTGGTCAGTGTGCTCCCACAGCCAACCTCCTGCTGCTGGCCAATCTCCCGCAGTCCCTCCCCCCGGCCATCCAGTCTCAGTTGGCCCTGATCGGGTCTGGGAGAGACCGCCCTTATCAGCCCCGATCACCGGCCAGGCTGAGGGACCCCACCCGTGCATGAATTTGTGCACCAGGCCTCTAGTTCATAAATAATGGAATATGTGAAATCATTTATTACAATTCACTTTTTTTTGCTTAGACAACTGAGTAGAGAATGGGACCCCTCACTGCCAGGAAAGAAATGTTCAGTTCTGCAGTCAAGGTTGAGGTGCTTGAGGACATCTAAGACAGGAAGGTGTTAACACATGCCTGGAGCATATGAAGAAATGGAAGAACAGACTTAATTGGCATAAGAATAAAATTGGCAGTTGAAGTCCTGGGGATATCTAACATCACCACAGGAGGAAGGCTATGGATGGAACCACAACATATAAGGGGTGAAATATATATGGTAAGCCACACAAGTAAGCTAAGGAAGTACTCAGAAGGTTTAGGAGTGAATGGCATCATAGAAGCCAATGGACGACAGTTTCAAGAAGGCATACTCTCTTTCAAAGAAGTCTAGAAAGGCAGGGCCTCAAGTGTGTTATTGATATTGAGGAACCAGAAGATGATATACTTGATCACTGTTTTAGAATTTCCTAGTGCTTGTTTAGAGATGTGAGCATAGATACAATGCTGGCCATAAAGCAAATCGCCTTAGGAAGAGTCTAATCAGAGGGGCATGGAAAGTAACCATGCCCATTAGATAGACTTAAATAAATGAACACCAACTTGTCTAGAAATCAAATATAATTTGTCATAATTATATAATCATTTCATTTTTATTTTAATCTTTACTATTTGCCTAAAACATATTAGGTCCTTAATAATGCTTAATGAAAGAAAGAATGAATTAACATCTTAGGAATTTCTAAGACTTTGGTACATATTGATAAACTACAAAATAATCAAATATAAATAACTCAAAGAAAATGTGAAAGCCATAAAGTTAATGAAGAGTGTAACTGCCGACAGTTCACATCACAGCAATGGTATTAACAATGCTGATGAATTAAGAGTACGGGAGGGAAAATGATAACATTAAAGGAGATCATAAAAGTTCTTTCATAAAAAATACGGTGATTTTCTTTTTTTCCATCATGACTGTGGAATAAAAAACTCTAATAATTATACTATTCTAGTTCATGAAGCACTCCCATACTATTCATACATTTGCCCCAAAACTCTAGTAAAATATAGGATGGGAAAAAGGTTTATAGTTGTAGCACAAATAATACAATAATTAATAAATAATAATATAAAAATAAATTCTGTGTTTTGCATACTCACAACTAAAAACCTACTTTTACCCACCTCTGTATAACACAATTAATAGAAAAGAGTGAAAATAACTGAATTTTTCTTTAATGTTTAGAAACATTTAGGATTTGACAACAATAATGGCTAAGCAATTGTAACGTGAAATCTTGGGAAACTTCTTTATTACTCTGTAAATTAATTTTCTAATTGGTAAAAGAGAAGAAGTTAAAGTAGATATTCTTTAAAGGAAGTTTCTACTCACATTTCTGTTGAAAAAACATCTAATCACAAAGATTATCAGATACTTATGAGTATAGGACTTTTTGTATAGCCTAACATATCCATTTCAATAAAAGTAAACTTTCTGATAGAACAATTTCCTTTTATATACAGCTTACTTTTTTACTTAGGCCAACAAGCTGGTAATAATTTCTATAATTAATTTTAGACATTTTAATACCCATTAGAACTTTAAGGTTTTCATAAAAATCTATCATGAATATATCTGAGTTTTTCTAGATTAAATTTGATTTCATAATTATAACATACCACTATTTGTTCCGCCCTTTAGATACCTACAGATGCCTACATTTTGAGAAACATGTAGTATAAATTCTTACCTCTAAGAGATGAGGCTCCATTTGATCCAGGGTTTTTCCAAGATGCTTATCTGGACTTAAACCTGCCAAGAAAGTTTAAAATTTTTAAAATAAATGTCTAAGTAGCAATAAAAAAAAAAAATAAATAAAAAAAAAAATAAATGTCTAAGTAAAAGTTTAAAGACATATCTCCTTCCCTCAACCTCTCCTCATTTGGAAACCAGTATGTGTGTATTTTAAATTGGCCCTAAAATAAAATGTACTTTGCTAATATTTACTTTTATTCCCTTTCAATAACTGTTTTTCTTGTTCCTGAAAAATGTTTTCTTCCAATTCATTTCAATTGCATTTTGTCAACTACCAGATTCACTGTTTCAATTCCCCCCCCCCTTTTTTTAGGAATTGTATGTAATTAGAACAAAAACAAGTATCATTTCAAAAATATAAAATTTAAAACCTTGATATTTTAATTTAATTTTTATTCCTCTTTACTATTATTTATATTTTAAATTGTATTTATTAAATTGATTAGGGTGACACTAGTCAACATGAACATATAAGTTTCATGTGTGGGTTTCTATGTTACAAGATTTGCATATTGCACCTTGTGTCCACCACTCAGAGTCAAATCTTCTCTTGTCACCTCATATTAGGACCCCCTACAATCCCCACCCCCTTCCCTCTGACAACCACCACTCTGCTGTTTGTGTTCATAAGTTTCAGTTTTATATCCCACATGAATGAAAACATGGTTCTTAGCTGTTTCTGACTTATTTCACTTGGCATAATGTTCTCAAGGTCTATCCATGTTGTTGCAAATGATGCTATTTCATTCTTTCTTATGGCTGAGTAGTATTCCATTGTGTATATGTACCACATCTTCTTTATCCAGTCTTCTATCACAGGACACTTTGGTTATTTCCATGTTTTGACCACTGTGAATAATGCTACAATGAATATAGGGGTGCATATATCTTTGTGAATTCATGATTTTGAGTTTTTCGGGTATCTACCCAGGAGAGGGGTTGCTGAGTCATATGGTAGCTCTATTCTTAATTTTTTGAGGAATTGCCAGATTGCTTGCCATAGTGGTTGTACCAGTCTACATTCCCACCAGCAGTGAATGATATTTACTTTTTTCCACAACCTCTCCAACACTTGTTATTGCTTGTTTTGTTGATACTGGTCATTCTAACAGGTATAAGATGGTATCTTATTGTAACTTTGACTTGCATTTCCCTAATTGCCAGTGAGGTTGAATATTTTTTTCATATATCTATTGGCTATTTGTATATCTTTTTGGGAGAGGTGTATTTTCAGGTCCTCTGCCCACTTTTTGATTGGATTGTTTGTTTGATTGGTGTTAAGTTTTACAAGTTCTCTATATGTTTTTAATTTTATTTTTTAACTCATGGACAACAGTGAGAATTTTCTGATTCATACCTATTTTATCTGAACTTCAAACATCTTACTTAGAGAATAAATAGAAAATAGAAGAGTGGTAGACTGGTAGGCTTATCTAGTTAATTCACCATATAAAAGGCTAAGTGACTGACCGTACATCTGTCCGACCGGCTGGTTCATATGACGCTCACTGGCAATTTAAAAATAAATGTTGACTCACACATGTGCGATACATATAAAGCTCTTGCTGGTGCCAATGGCACGCGTGTGTTTCTCGAAACTGAAGTATTAACAGGATCTGCGGAAGGAGAGGTTGTTCTGATTTTAAGAATTGCCGTGGCCAGTTTGGCTCAGAGGATAGAGCGTCAGCCTGCAGACTGAAAGGTCGCGGGTTTGATTCTGGTCAAGGGCATGTACTTTGGTTGCGGGCACATCCCCAGTGGGAAGTGTGCAGGAGGCGGCTGATTGATGTTTCTCTCTCTTTAATGTTTCTAACTCTCTTATCTCTCTCCCTTCCTCTCTGTAAAAAAAATCAATAAAATATATATATTTTTTAAAAAAGAATTGATTTGTCCCGTCTGACACTGGCCTCCCATTAAAATTAATTCAAAGACAGTTTCTTGTGATGCCAGCATTTGCAATGACTATTAATAAATCACAAGCGCAAACACTAGACAGAGTAGGAATATTCCTACCTGAACCCGTTTTCGGACATGGTCAGTTATATGTTGCTTTCTCTAGAGTTTGAAGAGCATGTGATGTTAAAGTTATAAAAACTTCATCACAAGGGAAATTAGTCAAGCACTCTGAAAGTGTTTTTACTCTTAATGTGGTATACAGGGAGATATTGAATAAGTTAAATCACTTTATCAGTTATTGTTTTTATCACTGTTGTTTTTAAATCACGTTTTTTTGGTTTTATGTCATGTTTTTATATCATGTCTTTGTTGTTGTTATATCATGTTGTTATTATTTATAAATCTATATATTATTTTCATATAAATTTTACTAGTTTTCTTTCATCTCTGACGCTTCTATTATAGAGAAAGGGTGAATAACGATATTAAAATATTTCTTCTAATTTAATTTCCTTTCATTGTGCATGGATCCATGCACCAGGCCACTAGTAGCATATAAACACAAATAGTTGTACCATGAAATTAATATTTCACTTTGATGACCACTTCTGTGACAATGTATTTTCCAAGTAAAGACAGAGACAACAATGAAAAATAATTATGTATCAATAGCATGTGCATAGTCTCCTAAAGATGTTGAACCAGTGGCTTTTGCAGCGGCAGCAGCCACCACTAATACAGGACAAACAGAGGGGAGGTGAGGGCTGGAGTTCCCGCCCGGCCCCCACTGGAGGTTGGAGCCTGCAGTCCCTCCACAGTGGTGATACTGAGCCCTGGGCCTGGGCTCTGACCAGGCGCATGCAGGGTACCAGAATGGACTCCCAATGACTGGCCAATCCAGGGGCTTCACACTGGATTTCCAGATACACAAAATGGCTAACATTATGGAAAGAGAAGTATAACCTTATCTTCTTTCACTATGGGGGTAGGTTTGGCAGATGGAGAAGCTGATCGAACTTCGATCTTGCCACATTTATAAGTTGCTAAAGTTTAAGATATGCTTCTTGGTGATAGCAAAGATGTCGTTGGACCACAACTGTGAAGAATCTCAACTTCTGACACCAGGAAAGATGAGTCAGTGCCAGGGGAAAGAAGTTTATCCAACCCAACCAAAGATTTGTATCAGCAATTTTTTAAGTCCAGCAAATCCTCATAGCCAGGGTTTTGAAAGAGGAAAGGAAGACATTTCTCAAAATAAAAATGCTTCTTCTCTTTCTATGTCAAAAGCAAGTCTGAGTCTAAACTTCAAAATGACTTGGAGAAGGGCAGTTCAGCTTCAAGCAAGCTCACTAAAAAAGAATACTGTATCTCAAGGTGGAAAAAAAATTTACTGAGAAGAAAAGAGCCGGGAAGGAGTTACTCAGTTCAATCACAGACCCTTCTGTTACTGCTAAGGCTGATTGGCTGAAGATTCGTGGTGCTTTAAAGAGGTGGACCAAGGTTGGTGTGTGTTGAAACCCAGGTGCTACTGATTTATAAAGCCCCCCAAAATGGTCAATAGGTAGGAACAGCCCTTCTGAATGCCTGTGAAATCGTTGAGCATCCATCAATAAAAGGATGGCTTTTGTTTCAAACTTTTTCATCCTTTGGAGCAGTTTATTTGGGCGGTAAAGGGTCTAAAAGGTGAAGAAGTTGGATTCATAACTTAGCCCTTTCCTAGCAGGATCATCTGAGCTACTTTGGAGTCAGATGGAAGGTGCTGAACGGATGTTTTGGAGTTGGCTTTGAAATGTCCTAGTCTTCTTAAACATATAATGACCAGGGAAGGAAAGGAACATGAATTGAGCATTTCATCAGAGAGTACACATGTGAGTGTATATCACTTATTACATGCTAACAATCTCCACAGTCGCGGCAACTTCTAGTTAAATGATAGTGAAATTGAACAACAGCATTTTGAGGACCAAGATATGTATTCTGAAAAATCCAATAAAGAAAATGACCAAGAGCATGATGTGCCTGACAATGAGGTGATAGGGAAAAGCGAAGAAAGTGACACAGATACATCAGAAGGCAAGATGACACATATATCGAACTTGAGCCTCTTGAGCCTTTAAAGGAGACCACCTACACTGCTGAGCAGAGAGCCATGAGGGACTCAGAGGGGAGGTGAGGTATCTCATATAGCAATGGTGTCTGAAGAAAACCAAAGCCTTATCTAGGCACTGCTGAGAAGTCCGTCCTGGCATGAACCTGTCCTACATTTATTTTGTCCTACATTCTTTTGTGAATAAACTTTCATATGACTATTGTCATGTAGATTTCCTACTGAAGCTGCTTTTGAAGAAAATCTTATTTCTGTTTGAAGAAAGAAGTGAAATGGTATTTGTCAGGATTCTATAAAAGACCAAAGGGACTGAACCTTATCATCATACACTTGGTGAGACTTTCAGTCATTTGTGGATTCATTCAGAACAAACAGCAAAACTTTTTATACTGCTGAACAGGTGTCCCACCACTACCTGCCTTTTATGTTAGTACTGAAAGGATGGGTTTTGCCTCAGTGGTAGTATCCTAGCTTAGTCCAAGTTCTATGGAAACTCACTATCTGCAATATTAGATGCAGAAGCACAATTAACTTTCTTGAATAGAGGTGAAGATTATGCAATAATAATGCCATATGCTCACTGTAAAGGAATTATTTATGCACAGTGACACAGGAGCTTGGTGGAACAGTCAATATTACATGTCAAAAAAAACTAGATACTGTGCAATACTTGAATTTAAACTAAAGCCATTTCTAGGTAGTTGTGAGTGCCTGTGTTAATCAGATAGTAGGGAAACTTAAACTGGGAAAGGAAGTCTTAGCTACTCTGGAAGGCCATTGGGAGAGTGAAGTTTTTATGAATGACAAAAAGACTGATAATTCAGAGGTTTTCTGGTACCTAACACCAGATGTTAAGCAATGGAGATTAATAAGGCACATTGTAAAACTGGAAGAGCAGGGAGACTGAAGCAGTGAAACTCTGGCAGCAAGTCACTAGAGCTATAAATGCAAAAGACCAAACCGCAGCTACTATACAGAAGTAAGTTTCAGAGGA